CCGCGCGTTGTAATTGTGTGGGCTACCTAGTTATCTTAAAAAATATGCAACGGCCATTTAAAGTTTAATTTGCATATGTTCTTTAGGCCGTGCATCATCCATGGGTCTGTAGCGCTGGAATCATTTTTTATTGTGCTTGTAGTAATAAGTGCTATCACAAAGAAGGAGTCGTTCTTACTTTTAGGATTGTCTTTAGCACTTTTACTGTAACATTGTCATGAAAACAGACAAGGAAGAGGATTTTGGAGCACTTTTACTGTAACATTGTAATATGACAACCACAAGTTCTTCCACTTCAGTACATCAACGTTATTCAACAATTATGTGGCGAGACAACTTAGTTGCCAACTTACTGGAACTAATTTTTATATTATTGTTTGACAAACCAACTCTTGGTGAAATAGTTAAAGAGTTTGCCCAAGACTCCACCTATCAAACTTCAATTCTTATTATCTAATTTTACACACACTTGCCATATGGTCTACCTCTATATAGCCTAATTTATGAGTACTAATTAGGGCGATGGACCTTTTTTTTAAAGGGAAAACAACACGTGATTATGCCTTTTCATTGAATATAGCGGGAGAAAAATACTACCTTCTAGAGATAAGAAAAGAGAAAAGCTCTATTCACTATACAGAGTGGGGCAAAAAGTCACGTAAAGGTTTTGCTCCTGCCATTGCCCAATTAGGGGGATGGACCTATGTGTGCTATTAATGGCATGAGTGCTTGGGTTGTCTTCCTTACAATTCCACTAAAGCACAAAATAAATCAATTTTGCAAAAAGTTTATAGGAGTGCAGCATGTATAGGTTTTTAGTATGGGAGAATATCCATTACGGTCGCTGAAGTTTCGCTATGAGATCATTTTAGTCCCTGACCTTTCAAATTGTCCAAGCAAGCCCTTAGATTTTATCATGTGGACATATACAGTCCTTGGCTCATCGAAAATTACCATGTGGGCATGCCATGTCATCTTTCGATGCAAATATATGATGAAATGCCCAATTTGCCCTTACACATATCATAGGGAAAAAAGAGAGAAAATGAGAAAAATACAAAAAAAAAGTAGGTGGTCTTGCATATATCCATTAGAGTTTTAACATTGAAATGCAACTACGTCCATAGAATTTATTTGGCATGGTAATTATATATTTAGTGGTTGTAGCTAATTTAACTTTGTATTTATAATCCAGTGAAAAAAGTTTGCCATATATCCATAGTTGTATTGAGCAAAGTTTGTAAATTATTTTATTCTTGTATGGTATATGGAAGGGTAAATTGGACATTTCAACATATATTTTGCATGAGAGGATAATATGGCATGTTCATGTGGCGATTTAAGTGGGTCCAATGATTATATTAGCTCACATGACAAATTATAAGGACTTGTTTGGACAATATAAAAGGTTAGGGACCAAATTAATCCCGAAGCAAAACTTCAAGGATCATGTTGGCTATTCTCCCTTTTATATCAGATATTGACCAAAGAATAAATAAACGTGATATGAAAAGCAACTCTATTTTTTTTTAAAAAAAAAGAGAGTACCAAATGGTGCATTTCTGAATAGAAGATCCTCCCGTACGTGTTGGCAGTGGTCAATATTAATTATAGCATCGGAATCTGTAGTTGCTGTTTGGGTAAAATTTGATAGTTTTGGTATCCCCTAATGTGCCACAAATTCACACTAGAAATGATTGTGGGTACTTCCTAATACTCCCTCAAGATAAAATTACTCAATGAAAGTGAAAGGTTTGATCTTCTCATCTTCTATTCTGCTCAATCTGACCGTTCAAGGTTCATACGGGATGGTGTGCATAGTACTGGTGTAGTTGATGAATGACTTCGGAGGATTTAATCTTATCATTTGAACTTCCGTTTTTTAGAGAGAGTTTGAGAAGCATATACTCCGGCATAATTTTATAGTTGCTGAAACTTTAGTGGGCAACCATTTTTTTAGTAATAACGACATAAATATATTTCTGTGCCATTTGATTATTTTCCCTAAAAAAATGAAAGGAGACAAGCATAGACCGATGTGACTACCACATTGAAAGTTATAAACCTTATGGCATAAATCTGGGAAACTCAATCCAGGAAGAATTTTCCTTTCTGCTCGCATATACATCATAGCAAGTAAGAAATAAACTCTACTTTTTTTTTCTTCCTACAGATGCCACATTACCGTTGATTAAAAAGAGATGCTATTGTTGTGGGATGCTCCCTTCTAAGGGAATTGTATTCCTATTATGCGATCCCTTTCTAAACGAACTTATAGGATATGAAAACTTTAGTCTTACTTCTATACAATAAGTATTTTCACAATTCTTGAGAAAGTACACCATTCTTTCTAATATTGATTTGCATTACCTCCTTGTACTTTAAAAAAGTGCTGCAAAATAAAATTAGAAAAAGGCGGTACAAATCCTTAAGATGATGCACCGCTGCACAAGTCATCTTTACCTCTGGTTCGTAAGTGCCTGTTCTCCCGGTTATACAACCGGGAGTCCAAATTCGAGACTAAAGATAGATATCTTTATTCCCGGGTAAAATAACCGGGACAAAAGTTGATCTTTAGTCCCGGTACTAAAAAGAAGAAAAGCGGCAGTCCCGGTTGCCACTTTTTTTTCATTGTTTCTTTACCAGATGCGTTTTTCCTTCTATTTTCTTCCAAATCGGATGGGATCTATGCATATCCCCCAATAATCAAATCCCCAATCCCTAAATCAAAATATAACATCTCAAACTATATATACATTCACATCACAGATCCTAAAAAAAATACCACAAATCAAATACATCACATATTGCATCTCAGATACATACAATAAATCACAAATTCTCAAAAAAAAATTACACATCTTAATGGAATCACAAATTGCAAAAAAAAAACAAACAAACGAATCGGCCGCCAACCGCCTGCTCGCCGCCGCGCGTGGGCCTGCCTGCCGCCGCCCTCCGCAGTCGCCGCCGCTCAGCCACACCAGCGCCTGCCGCCCACCGCCACTGCCCTCCACAGCCGCCGCCACTCGACCGCCCACCGCCGCTCGGCCCGCCGCCGCCGCCCTCCGTAGCCGCTGCCGCTCGACCAGCCGCCACCACCCTCCACAGCCGCCGCCGCTCGGCCACGCCGGCGCTTGCCGCCCTCCGCCGCCGCTCGATCTGCAACGAGAGAAGGCAGGAAGGAGAGGATAAGGCTTGAAGGAAGGAGAGGATAAGGCAAAGAAAAGAATAAGAGAGTAAAAATAGAAGATGAGGAGTTTGAGAGGATAAGTCATAGGGATTATATATGGTACATCGAATTTTAGTCCAAGTTTGTGTTATCAACCTGGACTAATCTTTAGTCCCAGTTGGTAACATAAACCGGGACTAAATATAAGATCTTTAGTCTCGGTTAGAGTCTCCAACCGGGACCAAAAATCCCCTAGGGGCCTGACAGCCCATGACAGCACATGAACCGGGACTAAAGATAGCACATGAACCGGGACTAAAGATGATGTTACCAACCAGGACTAAAAAACACATAGTTCTATTCTGCTTATAAACTGGGACTAAAAACCATCTTTAGTCCCGGTTTTTATTGGAACCGGGACTATTGTGGTTTTTGGCTGACCGGGCAAAGAAGGTTTCTCCAGTAGTGATGGTATATCTTGTATGAGAAAATATGTAGTGAAATCATCAAAAAAGTAAAAAACCCTTAAAAACCGAACCTAAAAGTTATCTAAATTTGTAAAAACATTAGTAGAGATAGATAGGTATAGACATAAAATACATTCCCATCAAATCTTAATTGTGAACTCAACTTTATTTGGAGGATAAAAAGATAAATTTCTGGACAGTAACATGACACCATAAATTTGTCTTTTTCGTTCCTTTTTGATAAAGTTGAGACTAAACTTAAGATTTGGTGGGAATATATTTCATGTTTATACGTATATCTAGTAATTATTTTTATACATTTAGATATTTTTTTAGATCTAGTCTTCACATATTTGATAGCTTTTTTTATTCTTAATCGGTCTCCTAGTAAAAAGTAGCAATGATAACTTGACAGTTTTTTTCTCGAATGTGCAGGAGAGCTGTGTAATACTCCCTCCGTCTTTAAATATAAATGATTTTGGTTAAATGTGATATATCCTGATACAACAAATCTGGACAGGCTTAATATTTAGATTCATTTTATTAGAATATGTCACATCCAAATAAAATCGCTTATATTTAGGAACGGAGGGAGTTACTTAATAGATAATCGCATTGTTACACCATTAATTAATGACACCTTTACATGCCTGAAAAGCAAACCCTTTTTTCCATACTCAAAAACAAACCCTTTGTTTGTCTGCATAAATCCAAGGGCAGACATCTCCAACTTGCAGAAAATTTCTACTGTAACATGTACTGAAAGCCACATAAATTTTCTATTGGGTAAATATAGCAAACAAGAATATAGGATGAGGTTTAATCAGGATCACATAGAGAGACAAATACTTTTCTTTAGCCAATGGGGATTCTCCAGAAGCGGATATCCTCCACCACTCAAAAGAGCTCCTCTTTTGACCAAAGGAGCCTCCACCTAGCTATTATCCTTTCATGCTTTTATCTTGTAGCAGCTTGGCCGGTCAGTGGATATTCCCACCATCTGCACTCTAATCAACGAGAGTTCCCAATTGCATACCCAGATGCCAACTCCTGAGAGATGATAAAATCTATCTGAATATATATATAAACCATGCAACCACATCCAGGGACCCAAGAGAGTATATTTTTTGACTAGTTTGGCTGGAGAAAATGAAATCCTCAATTGTGTGTGTATGGAGAAACCGATCATCTATGAGAATCTGTGTGTAATTGCCTGATTAAGCTCAAACCCATTATTTGACAGTTGACACACACATTATATAGTAAGATAAGATGATATACCCAAATCCGAAGATGAAGGGAAAAAAAATCTTATATATAACTGCAACACTAGGCTAGCAGCTCCATCAATTTCCAGCTCATAAATAAATTTACCACAAAAACCGTAAAGTGGTATTTCCATTTGTTCAACCAAAAAGCTTTCTTCCTCCTCATCAGCTTTATATAGGATCTTTTGGGAAAAAAAATGTTAACACATGCGGCATTTCTGTTCTTCCAAAAAGCCCAAATAACTGCTACAATGCCCACTCTCCCTACTGTGAGTTATTGATGATTCTCACTGACTCGCACAATGTTTTGGCCTAAACTTAACATTCCGACAAAGACCACATATATAGCACCATATGCATTCGGAAATACCAAAACGAAACATAATCCAGTAGTATATCGAGTCCCATGGAAATCGATTGAAAGCAGGGATTCCTGGTTATCCCATGGCAATAATTGCATCTACGTACTGTTGATGATGTTCATATGTAGAAAACGATATAACTGAAATGTTCCCCGGCTGACATCAGTTCTAGATTTTATTAGATTCTGAGAAACGACTGATGAGAATCTGAGAAAAAATAGACTTTTCTAACTTTTCTATTTCTCGTTTATTTTATAGATTTTATAAGTACATATTATTAAAATCTGTGTGAGAATCTGAAACTATTTGTCGGAGCTAGAGATTTATTATGAAAGAGCTTCTGGTTTTTAAGTTCGCTTTTTAGATTTTGTTACTATATACTATTGGAATCTATGTGAGAGTATGAACTATGGCCCTGTTTGAACTTGCTCCAAATAAAGATTAAGTATGAGCACGCAAAACGAGAAATACATTAATACATGGTTAATTGAGATTTAATGATTTCAAACTTGAGAAAATAGATTTATTTGATATTTTAGAACAATTTCTATATAAAAAGTTTCACACAAAATACACCATTTAGCAGTTAAAAACATATTAATAGAAACCAAGATAAAATTATGTATCTTAATAACAAAAGAGAAATGGCCTATTTAATTCTGAAAACCACTAAAGAACAGGGCCGAGAAACCTTGGGGCAAATGAGACACCAGAACTGAGAAAACCTTGCCTTGCCTAGAAGAACCCACTTGCGGGTACGACTACAACATAAGGAAAAGCAGAGGAGGTCATGCCGGGATGGAGTAACACACAGGGCCCCTCTTTTCACTTTCCAATGATTCTTTGGGTGACCCACACAAATTCCCCTCTAAATATTCCATCTCTCCAATCCCTTATATAAGTGCAACTACTTGCATGGTCCATGGCTCCAAGCTGCCTAGCAACAAAGGTCTTAATTAGGAGCTCTCTCCATTAGGATCCTCGAGCTTCAGGAAGCTATCTCCAACAAAACATACACATTCAGATCAACTTCAGTGATGGCTGCAGAATCAGAGGTCGGTGACTGCAGTAATTCCTAGAATTAACCTCAAGAATCTCTTCTTTTTTGTTTCACACACTGTTCAATTCAGAGTTGATCGATGTGCTAATGTACCTGTGACTCGAACTGTACCTGCAGACGCCGCGAATAACAGAGCTTCATGTGAGGATGGACTGCAATGGCTGCGAGCACAAGATCAGGAAGACTCTGCGTGCCATTGATGGTACAGAATTAATTCTCCTCTTTTCTTCAGACAAATCCATCTAGCTCAGCCTCATACACCCTCCATTTTAAAAAATATTAAATCCTGACTATATATCTGAACATATATTTGTTCGGATTCATGGCTAGGATTTGATTATTTTTTCCAGGACGGGGGAGTACCTATCTGAAAATTCTGAAATTTTAGCATTCTGAAAAAGTGAAAATGCACTTATCTGCAGGTGTGAGCGAGGTGTACGTAGATGCAGCGAGCCAGAAGGTGACGGTTGTCGGGATCGCCGACCCGGAGAGGATCGTCAAGGCGATCAGGAAGACCAAGAGGGTCCCCACCATCTTCTCCCACACCGACCCGGCGGCGCCGCCGCCGCCGCCGGCCGAAGGCGAGGCCGCGCCACCGCCAGCCGACGCGCCACCGCCGGAGGAAGCACCGGCCGCAGAGCCGGCACCATCAGAAGCGGCGCCGCCGCCGCCGGCGGAAGCCGACCAGGCGGCGGCTCCCCCGGCCACCGACGCCACCGTCATACACATGGTGCACGACTACCCGTACACCCACGACCACCACCACGGCCACGGCCACCACCTGTTCGGCCGGGACCACTGGCCGGCGAGCCACCATCCCGCCGGCGGCATGGTCAACTACGGCGGCGGCGCGCCGTACTACGCCGCGCACAGCTACAGCCACAGGGCGAGCCCGTACGTCTCGGAGTACGGCTACGTCGGCTCTCCGGCTCACCATGAGGGCAGATTCTACAGCAGCCATGATTACTACTACCCTGCAGCTGCTGGTGGCAGAGGGAAGGGAGATGGAAGCCAGATCACCTCCATGTTCAGCGATGAGAACCCTAATGCATGCACCATATCCTAATCAACATGCTTTTGCCTGTCAAGAAGTAATTAAGGTGGGGTATTATATAGTATTGATGATTAGTGTTAATTAAGATTACTGTAACATGAGATTTATGTAAAATAGTATTAATTAAGAGGGGTGTAAGTAAGATAAGGAAAAAAGGGGAGCAATAAGATGCTTAACTTGTAGTAGTGGGAGATGATTTTCCTTGGCAATCACCACTATTTTTTTTTTACCGCCGTCCACTACACCTCAAGAGAATCCAACAAAGCTGTGGTCCTGTGTATATGATGTGTACTTGAAAAAAAAGTGGCAGAGACGTCACAGTATTTCCAGGCCAAATCTAAAAACTTTGTCCTGTCTAGCATGTTGGGAATAGAGACATTTTTGTATTCTCTTGAAATATATGTACATCTGATTTGCATCGCATAAATCTAGAGATCTTATCTTCTGAAATCTAGAACGTGAGGATTTTTTTTTTTTTTTGCTTCTTGCAAGGAAGAAACTGGTGTCCATAAAAGGAGGCAAAACATTTATATATCCAGTGCAGTTTGCTGAATTTTCAGTTCAGATTGACAGACCAATGGGATAAATTCCAGTTCTTCATGGAGCGGTGTTTCAAGTAGTACTAGGAACAGTACGAAGAACAGGGAAGCTAGGTGTGTACTGATGCAGAGGAGAATTTGATCTGACATGAGTATAGTTTCTAGTGAAGGGAAGTTTTCAGAGCAAATTCAGGAGACCAAACTCGACCGACAGGATGGAAGGTGTTTAACAGGTCGACGAGAAAGAGACATTTCTGTGTAATGATAAGCTTAAAGAGAAGTCAATGGCTTTCAGACTTTATAAATCAAGACAAACTCATGCTCAGGGCTAGACCAATTAAACTGTTAAGTTAATCTTCCATTCCTTTCAGTCATCCAGAGAAGGTATATCTGCTCGACTGCTCCCAAGACTAATGTCAGACCTGGAGGAGGTGGATAAGAAAAGTGATTGTGACCCCAGAAAAAACAAATATTGCCAATTAATTATAGACTCGCGGTGATTTAATTCCACTTGCGTGATGTTTTATTTGCTTAGCTTTAGGAAGTTATAAAATACTACTCCTAAATATGTTGATTTTTACAAGGAGTAGTTTTGTTTTAAGAAGTCTTCTGGTTTAGACTTTAACCATCGATTGCTTATAAAATAGATTGTTAATAACCCTGGGAAAAATATGTTTAACAGCATTTTTGGGATATTAATCTATCAAATTATTTTTTATTCAATAAATATACTTATAGTTTTATTAATTGTCAATAAAAATCCAAATTTTAACTATTTGAAAGAAAATACTTCCTATGAAAATCATCATATCCGAGAAGAAAAAAAGATCTCCAGGAAAGCAAAGCCCATTTATACATTGCTTCAAGTTCAAGCGGCCCAATTCACCACCGAACAGGGCAAGAAAGTGAATAAGTTCATTTTAGGTCTCTCGATTTATCTTCGAGTTTGAAGTTCATCTCTAAACCGAAATATTAGATATAGTCCATCCCCCAACTCGTACCATGTATCCAATGTTGATCCTTTGGCAATATATCTGCCTCTCCCTCATCACCCTCCGTCACGCACGCCGGGTACAGCATGTCACCGGCGCCGTCGGGTTGCAGTGGCAGTTGGGCCGCCGGAAGTCCACCGCCCAGAAGTTAGACTTAACGGTGTTAAATATTTAGGAACGAAGGGAGCAATAAGAGGTTAAAGTTGACATAGTAGTGTGAGTTGGGAGATTTAACAAATCTGATATTTCGGTTTGAGGGATGAATTTTAAACTCCACGACAAATTAAAGGATCTCAAATGAACATATTCCACGAGACTGGATCTCAGGACAACATCGCACCGGCCGGTTGGTCGACTGGATCAGGCAATTAGCCCATTTACGGAGTAAAACAAGAAGAAACTTCTTGGTTCTTTTTATATTTATTTTTCACTAATTTACAAAATAAATAAATCGCCATATCAAAGGGTGGTTTATATGGACACACAGGGCATTTTTCATATAGATCCTTACCATTCTCTAGGTGGTCGTTTTGTGATATTTCGGATTTATATAAGGTGTTGTTATAGCTGTGATTGTAATTTAAGGACTGCATGCAATTTCAGTCGTCCATTTCTTTAATTAACGGATCAGATCTAGTGCTACAGTAACAACACAAACAGTATCCCAAACTACGGTGCTTTCGCTATAATTCAGTGAACAATGCGACTCGCTAGGGTATACCATCCAATTTGCATCTGTCGATGAGAACTTATATTGTCTAATTGCAGCCACTATTGTGACTGCACATGATCCGAATTCATGATATCTCCATCGATGAATAATGCGGGAAGGGGTGATGTGCAATTTTTGGAGGTTAGTCCTCTTTCTCAACTACCACTGCTAGGAAACCCTCTTCAACCCCGGTTTGCAACTCTCTTATTGGCTTATTTAGTCCCAGATTGCAAACCGAGACTAAGAATCTGGGACTAAAGATCGTTATCTTTAATCCCGGTTGAAATACTCGGAGTAAAGATACATCTTTACTACATATGGTTGAGCCACGTGATTGACACAACCATCTTTAGTCCCGGTTGATGTTACCAACCGGGACTATGGGTTTTTTTTGTTTTTTTCCTCCTTCAGTTTTTTTATTTTTTTTACTCCTTCAGTTTTTTTCTTTTTTCCTCATTTCATATTGATTCACAGCATAGATATCACAAATTCATTCACACAGATCATCACAAATTCGTTCACAACATCACCAATTCATTCACAGCACATCATCACAAAATTATTCACCAAAACATTCACAAATCAACAACATCCACAAATCATAAAAAAAAATAAAGAAAAACTCAAACAAATCAAAATCTACATTGTCGTGTGCCACCCGACCACCGGCCGGCCTCCCATCCCGCCGCCGGCCGGCCACTCATCCTGCCGCCTCCCCTCCGGCCGGATCTGGCGGAGAGGAGGGCGACGCCACCGCCCCGCACCCGGCCACCATGGTTTATTCTATCCCATCAACCAAGAGAGTGGAAAGGATCTATATGTGAAATGACTCTCATCCTATTATATTATATAACCCGTCTTCCGGAAGGATATGATGGCTTTTTTTTCAAAAAAAAAATCCCAGAGGAAGGAGTATTTCTATAAATTTGTAAAAATATATATATTCATTTGATATAAAATAAAAAGTTTCAAACATATTTTAAAAGAAAAAGGCATGAGTATTATCTATTCATTTCTTTCAAAACATAATACGGACATATGCGCTCATAAAACACGCAGAAACAATTACCCTATGGAATATGAATATACACTTAATTTCCCTATGAGAACCGAGACTGAGCCGTCATATTTTAAAATGATGGAATCATCTCAAGTGTCTCAGTGTCAATGTGTATATCTCGCTCAACAATAAAAGTTAAATTGACAATAAATACGAGCACCTATGTCGAGATAGACTAGAAGTTAAACATGAGTAGATTTTTACCAGAAGTAACCTAACCCGTTGTTCACCTATGGTTGTGTTTGCAAGAGCAAGTTACCAACACTCCTCTCTTGTTTTCCACGCGCACGCTTTTCAAACTGCTAAACTGTGTGTTTTTGCAAAAAGTTTCTATACGAAAGTTGTTTAAAAAAAATCATATTGATCTATTTTTTTAAAAAAAATAGCTAATACTTAATTAATCACATGCTAATGAACTAATCCGTTTTCCGTGCGCACTGTGCAGGTTCCCATCCTCCCCTAGCGAACACAGCCAATATTTAATAGACAAATTAAGTTCAGAACTAACCATTTGAAAGGTTAATACGGGTTCATTCAATTTCCGCTGCTTATCTTGTGTGCACACCACCTCTCGCAGAACAGAATGTTAGTTGATGTTTTTTTTGTAGCTTTAACTTGCACTCTTTCGGTATGAAATTGGTACAAATCTAAATTTGTAACCTTCTCTCATGTATTAGAGTGCACCTAAGGCTAGCTTCTGATGGTAGATACTGGGCGGGCCTAATGGGCGATCGATCGCCAGGGCGATTGCCCAGCGATCGGTCCCCCCCCCCTCTCCCTTCTCCCCTTCCTCCTCCCCTTCTTTTCCTATTACAGTATACCAAAAAAAAATTAAAAAAAAGTTACAAAAATTTATGTATAAAAAATTTAAATTCAAATTTAAATTTGAATCGGGTATGTAAATTTTTGACTTATAAACTTTGGATCTAAAGTAAACTTTAGGTGTATAAACTTTAGATGTATAAAAATACTATATATAGAAAATATTTGAATTATTTGAATTCAAATTCAAATTTGAATCGGATATAATTCAAATTCAAATTTGAATCGGGTATATAAACTTTAGGTATATAAACTTTAGATGTATAGAAATACTATATATGAAAAATATTTGAATTCAAATTCAAATTCAAATTCAAATTCAAATTGAATCAGATATAATTCAAATTTAAATTTGAATCGGATATATAAATTTTAAGTCTATAAACTTTAGGTGTATAAACTTTAGATGTATAGAAATACTATATATAAAAAATATTTGAATTTAAATTCAAATTTGAATCAGATAAATAAACTTTTGGTCTCTAAACTTTAGATGTGTAAACTTGAGGTGTATAAACTTTAGGTGCATAAATTTACTAAAATAGAAAAGTAATGCGGTGCCAAAAAAGGAAACCAGGTGGAGGGAGGGAGGGGGAGGAGGGGGGGAGGAATTGATCGCTCTGATCGCTCGCCCAGTAGCATTTCCGGTAGATACTCCCTCCGTTTTATAATGTAAGACTTTCTAGAAATGTCTAAATTTATTAACATCTATATAAATATATAAATATAGGTAATGCTAGAAAAATTTACATTATGAAACAAATGAAACGAAGGAAGTATATTCTAAAGTTTGGGATTCGTTTGATGTCGTTGGTTTAACCCAGCTTTCCTTCTAATTAATAAACATTACTAGCTAGGTTTGTCCGAGAGACTCCCAACTCTCAATTATCTATATGATTAATAAGCAAATTCGTGGATAATAACTATACTTGGGACACAGTAATATATCATGATGTAGATTGGTTTCTAGGGTCTAATCCTTTCTTGACATATAGTATTTTATAATTCTTGTGAAAAATTGAGGACTCTATATGTTGGAAGACAAGATTAAGAAAACAAATAATAGGGAAAATAAATATTTTTATGGAAATGCACATATAGCTAGAGGACTGAGAAATGCAAGAAAAGAAAAATATAAAAGAAGGACCGTTTACGATAGATGGTATAAAAGTGAAAGAATTTTAGGAGAGATGAAAACTAGAAATTTTTCTATGAGATTAGGCCTCATGTTAAGGGCCCTTTAATTCATAGGGAAAACACATATAAAATTTGGAGTATTTCAATTATTCATAAGAAAGCATT